TGAGTTTGCTGAATAGCCAGAAGTCGCACGGAGCCAAATCAGGCGAATACGGTGGTTGCGGAACGATATGAGTCGAGTTTTTGGCAAAAAAGTCGCGAAGAACCAATGCAGTGTGAGCCGGTGCATTATCGTGATGAAGGAACCAAGAGTCGAAAAATTCACTTTTGATTGTTTACAAAAACACGTGTAACTCGGAGATAATTAAACCTTTTGACAAACAGACGCTTGGCAAATATTATAGACAGTTCTACCAACCTAGGAAAAAAAAATTACCTGCCTTCCTAATGCCCGGGAGTTTTAAATGACAATTTCACCTTACTTTTTGATCACAGTAGTATATGTTATACACACACATACATATGTTATATATATATAGATATATATTATATTATATATAGATATTTATATATAAATTATATATATAGATATATATTATATATATATATATATCTGAGATTGTGTTCACAAATAGAAAATACATGCGCTAGAGCGTCGAACATCTTGATTGGTTAAAATATTAGACAACTACTCTCTCTCTCGTAAAAGTTATCTCGAAAGAGGTATAATTTTTGCACGATTAAATTAATCGAAGTTTGATGTGTAACAGTTTTTCTTACATTTATATTTAATCAAAACTTGTAATTTTAATATATTTACAATATCTTAATAATCATAAAATCTACATAACAGACTAACTCTACCAAAGTCGACGCTCTATCGTACATCGCAGTTACTATAGAGGAAAAGGACGAGATAGACAGAGACAAAAAAAAAGACAGATATTGGTATCTGTTGTGAAAGAGTGACACACAAGACAGAGATGTCCACCAAGTCGCATTAAACGCATAAAAATACATAAAACATCGAGCACACGAAGCAAAGACACTGACTAAACGACTGAACAAGACGTTAAAAAAAAAAAAAAAAAGAAAAAAAGAATAAGAATAAATAACGGAGAGACTATAAAACCGAGAGACTTTGTACCACACACGGCAACATGCTACTTACTAGCTTGGACGGCGGTAGTAGCGGCTCGATTTGACGCGGATCGCGTATCGGAGGATGATTTGGATGATGGATCATCGCCGGCGGCTGCAGCCGCAGCTGCTGGATGGCCGCGGGCCAGTTTTGCCTGAGCCTCGTCATTCGCACCACGGCACCTTTGGCTTAAATCTTTAACGCCGCGCTCCGGCCTGGCCGCAGCGGCAGCGCCCGACGTAGGTGGTAGGTGATGGACGGTCGTATGAACCGAATGCTTTACCGGGGAACGTTTTACCGGGACGCTAGTACTGTTAGCGGTAGTGACAGTGGTGGTTGTGGTGTTAGTGGTGGTAGTGGTTGCGGGTTTGGCGTGATGAAGAGGGCGATGGGGAAGGGCGGTGGTCGCGAGAAAGGCTAGAACATACCGTACAAAGAAAGAGTACAATTGATGAATAGAGCTCCTGGGCTGTGGCTTTCTTTGCAACGTGCACGCGAGCTGGACTTTTGCGTCTATAGCAGCGGTCGATATCGCGACGATTGTTACTCTCAACGGAAATCAAAAACCGCGACCGCTCGGAAAAGTTTATAGGTCCTTGGTGAATCTCCGCGCTCTCGCGAGAATTTCTTCCTCGACGAGATGCGAGGAGGACGACGAGAGACTCTGAGGAAAACTTTTGAGGAGCTTTTTTTGTTTGTTTGCAAAGAATTTTTTGATAGTCTCGAATGCGAGCGATTTTAAAGATTTTTCGTAGATTATTTAATTTTTGATATATTGGCTTTGTCAGGGATTTGAATTTGATTTTGCCAATAAGCATAGATAGAATTCGCAGTATATTAAGAGACATTTTTATACGTCACAGAGTGGCTATATTTTGTTAACTTTTGTGACTCATCCCCCCATCCACATTTAATTATATATATAATTTAGTGTGTGAATTATGCATTACACACATCTTATAAATTGCATATCACATAGTACATTATTAACATTATTTTTTATCACATTATTTCATTATTTCATTAGCAAGTGCGAATTCTATTTGGGTTTTAACGACACGCGAGCGCCACTACTCGTTACAATCTATCGAATACTGTTAAGCAATATGCGACTCCTCTATAAGGTCTATCGTTTTTGTTGCTGGTGGATTGATTGTTGCAGGGATGCAGAAAGGGCGGATATGGTGAAGGAGAGGGGAAAAGAGGGATGAGCGAATGTGTTGACAGGTATATATTTCGGGAATTGTTGAAATAGATTAATCGTTTGCCCATACTCGGGTACGAGCTTAATTGCAGCCGCGGAGATGGATCGTATCAACCACAAAATGTCACCGCGCTACTGCATAGCGACCGATCGCGACTACGTCGATTTTTGCCCCGATATATATTTTGCAACGCTTGAACGCACACGCTAATTAATTAATTATTCCAGTTCAATCACCAAGCAAGAATCGCGAACTAATATATGTTGCATTGGGATTTTGACAAATGTGCTTGGTGAAATTTAATTAATTTAAAAAAATTATCCTTACGAGAAAAAAAAGAAAGAGGGAGAGAGAGAGAGAAAGAGAGAGAGAAAGAGAAAAAGAGACTCGCGATATAAAGCAAAATCCAATTTAATGATTTGCCAATATAATAAGACACATGTATATATACAGAGTATCTCACCTAACTTGAACATTCTAAATATCTCGGTCATTTTTTATGATAGGAGAATGCCGAAAGCCTCATTATTCAGTTCGAGGAGACAAATACTGTAATAAACAAAAACTTTTTGAATTCGTTTTGACCTTGCCTATCATATCGCGAGGATAAAAATATGTACTTTCAGATTAAAAAATGACAATGTCCTTGAAATCTAAAAATATGACCTTGAAAACCATTTTCCTGTTTATTACAGTATTTGTTTCTTCGAACTGAACCTTTTCGGCATCCTCTTATCATAAAAAGTAAGCGAGATATTTAGGATGCTCAAGTTAGGTGGAACACCCCGTATATATACACAGAGTGTCCAGAAAATCTTTGCCAATACTTCGGGAAGGGATCCAAAATTGATTGAGGATCCAAAAAGAAGGAAAAAAAGTTATATAAACATAGATCCGGAAATAAATCGTTTCCGAGTTATAGCCACTTTTATGTTTAAAAATTGTAATTTTTTTTCATAATCATAATTTATTTTACTGTGTTTTAACATAAATAACTTCATTTCGGACTATTTTGATAGAAGAATAAGAACCTGCATTCGTGCACTACCTGAAGGTGATCATTTTGAACATAAACAAGTATTTAAATCGAATTAGATATGACGTTCAAAATGACCTTCAGCACAAATGCAGGTTCTTATTCTTCTATCGAAATAGTCCAAAATGAAGTTATTTATGTTAAAACACAACACAGTTATTTATGTTAAAACACAATAAAATAAATTATGATTATGAAAAAAATTACGATTTTTAAACATAGAAGTGGCTATAACTCGGAAACGACTTATTTCCGGGCCTATGTTTATATACTTTTTTTTCCTTCTTTTTGGATCTCTACTTACTTCCCGAAGTATTGGCAACGATTTTCCGGACAGCTTGTATATATACAGGGTGTCTCAAACCACCCGCGCCACTCACTTAAAGATAAGGAAAAATGGTTATTTTGAAAAATGTTTCAGACAAAAGTTGGAGAACAAGTAATGTATTATATTGGCATATGCAATTGACCTTGAATGGCGTCGTGAAGATCATGTCAAAGTCAATTTGAATTTTTAAATGGGACTTCAATTTTTATTGCATATTTTTGTAGCCGACGTCAAGGCGTTTTTCTGCTTATAAACCATTTGTAGTTGAGATCTTTCTGAGTTATGAGACTTCAAAATTTTAGTACCAGCGGTAGCATTACCCAAGATGTACCGCGTGGAGGTCGTACGGTCGGGTTTACATATTTCGAGGTGAATATAAATCAAAGAGGTGTAAATCCGACCGCGAGACCTCCACGCGGTATATCTTGGGTAATGCCAACGCCGGCGGTACTGAAATTTTGAAGTCTCATAATTCACAGGATGACCTCAACTAAAAAAAAGGTTTGTAAGCAATGTTTCGAAAATGCCTTGATGTCAGCTACAAGAATATGCAATAAAAAAGGATTCCTATTGGAAAAAATTCAAGTTGATCTTGACATGACCTTCACGACGTTACAAGGTCAATCGCATATGCTAATGTAATGCATTGCTTGTTTCCCAACAACTTTTGTCTGAAACATTTTTCAAAATTCACAATTTTTCTCGTTTTTAAGTAGATGGCGCGGATGGTCTGAGACACTATATATACAGGTGTTTTATTTTAATTGTTCTAGACTAAATATCTCAAAAAAATATAGAAGATACAAAAACATATTTCAGACAAAAGTTGTATGATTTCGAATAGGACGTAAGACGGTGCCATTAATTTGAACTTGACTAAATGTTTGAAGGTCACAAAAAGATTACTTTTAATTTTTTATAGATAGAACTCTCTATCTTTTTATTGTATTTTCTTATAGCTTACCTCGAGAGCTTTTCAAAACACTATAATCGAATATTTTTTTATTAAGTGCTTTTCGAGTTATAAGGTTTGAAAGTCACAGTATGTACCGGCATTAACATTACCCAAGATGTAACGGCCAGTGAAGGCAAGATCCAAGATATATCAGCCAATGTTCTCAGAAAAACAGTCGATGCATTCGAAAAACAGTTATATATTCAACAGAATGATGGTACATTTGAGCATTTGTGCTGTAGAAGTACTAAAAATAAACATTCAATGTGACTTTGATGTGACCTTATGGAGTTAATCGGTTTTGTGCTTTCATCGGCCGGATCAACCTCGGGTTTTGCCTTCATTGGCCGGTACATCTTGAGTAATGCCGGCACATACTGTAACTTTCAAGTGTCATAACTCAAAAAGCATTTAATGAAAAAATATTTTATTAGTGTTTTGGAAAGCTCTCGAGATAAGCTATAAGAAAATGCAATGAAAAATAGAGAGTTCTATTAAAAAAATTAAAAGTAACTTTTATATGATCTTCAAACAATTATTCAAGGTCAAGTTAATGGCACCGTCTTGTGTTTCCCTCAAAACCATACAACTTTTGTCTGAAACATCTTTTCGTATCTTCCATATTTTTCGAGATATTTGCCTTCCGAGATATTTGGGGCAATCAAAATGAAACACTCTGTATATAATAACATAGCAACTTTTTGTCTATTTGAATGAACTGAGCGCGTCTCAAGCAATTTAAAACAACTATATATTTTTAATAAACAAATTTCTTCCATGTGCACTCAGCGCGTGCACAACTTCGGCCGGATAATTATATTATCATGCATATTGCAGCGGAAAAGAAAAAATACATAACGCGAGAAAGAAAAAAAAAAAAAAAAACGATCGAGATTAAATCGCGTTGCGAATCGAGAGTCCGCTCTGAAAGATCTACAAAAGAGGTGTCTAAAGACGTGTGAAAGACCATCGAGATCGAGTAGAGGATAGGTCAGGGTGAATTATATAAAAAGAGAAGAGGAGAAGATAGAGTAGAGAAGTGACAATGCTCGTTTTGGTAATGCAATAATTCTGAAAATGTCAGACCGATGTGTGAGGCAGGCGGGCAGCAGGTACGTGGCCAGGTACAGTGAACGTACATTTGCGATGCGGGGCTTGCGGGGGCCTCCTGTGGAGCGGAGCAGGCCCTGGGCCCGGGGGTGGCGGCGGTAATGGCGGTATAGGCGGCGTCAACAAGCCAGTTGCCGAGGAAATCGTGGTCGCGGGTTCTCGTATGCTCCAACGGACACGTTGGTGGCCTGGGCCCGCCGCGGCTGAAACACCCGCTGCCACTCCTGATCAATCTGATTCACGACACCTCCTCCCCGCGATCGTACATACTCTCGTGAAGGAGGAACTTGTGAGAGAAAGAATAGGCTCGCGAACAGAGGGGGGGGGGTGGATGATCGTTCAGAAAATATTTCAATAATGATAGGGAGTAAGCGCGCACGATGTAGGAAAGACGATGGTAATGATGATAATATAATAATGTTGATGATGATGGTGATAATAATAATGATGATGGTGATAGCGATGCTGATGATGACGAAGCAGCGGAGCGCGATGATGACCGAGAATGCAACTGAGGCGTAAACCGGAGAGAGATAGTCACCGTGAACGTGTGGTTATATGCGATAATGACGATCGTTAATCAACGATGATGATCGAAAGCTAAAGTAATCTTTTAGCCTTTATATATTGATATCGTATTTTGATTATATATTGTGTATTTTATTAGCGCTAATTTAAATTAGTAAGTTTAACAGACAGATGATGATGGATCTATAAGATTAATTTATAAAATAAAATATATTTTGAGAGTTGTGATATGTTTTGAAGATTGATTTAATTAATATTAACACAATATATTAATCTCGAGTAATTAATATATATTAACAATTTACGCATATGACACATTAATTTTTTAATAAATCATTAAGTTATAGCTGCGCCTAAAAAACATTCCGCAGCAAAACTCCGCAAAATTAATATAGAACGTATAAATTATATTGAAAAAAATCAAAAATATAATAAATTTTATTTTATTTTGTTAAAATAACTTTTATTATGTATTTTTCTTTCAATTTTAATTTTATTCAAGAAATATTTTAAAATTTTGTTTTGCAATAAAAATGATAATTGCTATCGTTCAATAATTTGAAAATAGTTTATACAATTGTACGTTACAGTAATAAAGTGCGTTACAAAATCACAGTGAGATGTTTAATAATTATGTATTTGCGCGATAATATGATATATTATATATATATTAGATGATAAAAATGTGATGAGACAATGATCGAAGGAATTGATATGGGAACCTATCGTTTTTTTATAAGGAATGAAAGAATCTTTCGTTTGATTACGAAGAAGAGCAGCGAAAAGTAGAATGATGAATATAATACGTCGCACGAAGTCTTCATACAGAGAGTCTAGTTGATATAAACTACAAATTACTAAAGAGACGAGGGTTTTAAAGGCAGAGGCAAAGAGATAGAGACAAATAGACAGGACTATCATGCATCCATCTGCCTAAACATTAATGAGACGCACTTATAATAACCGACGCTCACCGCACCGCAAATTAAGCGCTTTCACGTGAACGTGTTTTAAACTATTTTTATCCTAAATAAAAATAAATAAATATATTTTTTCTAATTACAACTTAAATAATTTTAAGTCAAGCTTTCGAACATCATCTGAGAAGAGAGAATAAACACTTCTATTAGTTTTTTGCATATTTGCAATTAGCAAAATTTACTGGCACTGTAATATTTAAGTTTAAAATTAAATTGGGAATTATTTGTTTTTTTTTTTTTTATTTTCTCGCACAAGAAGAAAATTATATAAAAAAAACTTGAAAAAAAATTTCTTGTTATTATATATTTTTGCTGTTATAACAAAGAGATCAAAAAATCGGCGTAAATAAATAAATTTTGCGGTGAGCATCTTTGGGATTTGTATATAATACAATTATGTACGACGAACGTTTTTGGCTTTTGAGGCCCACAAGAGCAGACAGCAGTCCAATACAGCGTTGTCAAAATAACCGTTTTTCTCGGACACGTGCGCTATAAAATCAGCGACATATGTACCAGTATGTAGCGTAATAAAAATATTCCGAAAAAAATGTTGGAGACAATTTTTTATTGGTGCAATTGATCATTTTACTTGTCTTCATTAATTTTGACAAAATTGTTCGAAAAAAGCGGTTTATCTGACAACTCTCTGAGTTCAAAAAACGTCGCATATATAATATAAATATGTAAGTACTCTCTAATCCAGTTTATGCACGAAAATGCAATGGGAACTCGACTGACAGATTGCGAGCTCCAATCGATTCGGTATACGATTCCCTTGGGGGGAGGGGGGCACTAAACTGACTTGAAGGGGTACTTTCGATATGTAAAACTTTATGTCGTTCACAGTTTGTTCTACTTACTCGGTCGTGGATGTCTTTCGGGCTCGCCGCTCTTTTCTCTGTCTTTATCCTTGTCCTTCATCTCCTTCTCCTTCTCCTTTGACAAACGAAAGCACAAATCCCACAGTATACTTAAGTTGGCGCATCAGCTTTGATACGATGCCGGCGCGGAGCGCAACTTGCAACTTCGCCCGAGATAATTTCACATGCGTTATAAATGTCAAGCGAACAACACAATCGCGAGATAATATATCTCGTCTTTTCCCTATCTAATTGTAAGAGAATTACCAAGTTTCATTCGAAAACAATTAAATTAATTCCTTAAAACTGAGGAAATTGCGATTCCCAATATCGAAAAAATGGTTTTTCTCTATCGCGGTTCAAAACAAATTCTCCGAATTTCACTTGAAAATGTCGGAAGCGAATGTTTTGAAGACATTTGATCAAGATATGTTTTTTTCTGTTATAACAAGTTTTTTTGGCCAATTTATAACCAATTGTTTGGCGCACGTTTCGTATATCTTTGGATGGACAAACGTATCAATTACATACTTTGGCGTCCTTTGTAACGGATGGCGCACGGGGAGGCTGACGTTTGGGCGATCTGCGATCGGTAACGGTCGGTCCAAGGCTCTGCGAGCGTCCGGTTCTCGGACTGTTCTTCGGACTTGACTTGGTTCGCGGTTGAATCTCGTCCCGGTGCTCCTTGGTATCGTCGCGTCGTCGTGGAATCACAGGCTCCAGCTTCTCTCTCGTCGGAGAGGGAAGCAGTGCACCGTCACCTTGACGGAACAAAACACATATAAATACTTATAGAAATTTCAATGAATTACACACGTGCGTTAATCAATTTGACAAATAATTAATTCAATGTTGAGTTATATGTACGCATTATCCGCTATGTTTATTAAATGAGAAGATTACAAATAGAGATTATCTTTGACGGGGTGATGAAAATTAATGTAATTAATTATGTACGCATTGTATAGTGTATCGATATTTGTACTAGTTTTTAGACTAAATCAAAAAAAGTGACTCTTATAATTATAATATTACGTACCCACACCGGTAGTGCGATCGAGGTGGTGGCGGATCAAGAAATCCTTTCTTGCGCGAGCGATGGCTCGATCAGTTTCCTGCGACAAAATAGTCAGAAAAACACAATTACAGAGAATTCGCCAAATATCTTTGAGGTGTTTTTTTGGTTTCGAAGAATATGTACATTTTTTTAAGTGTTTTCGAGATTGTTTTGTGCGCAATTTCATATAAATCACATAAATTAGAATAACACTTACGGATTTTCTCTACGAATATATATATACAGGGTGTCCCAGAATTGGTTTAACATCTCTCGTACACAGGTAGAAGGAATAAAACTGAGGTGAAAAGTTCTATACCATTTTGCTAGATTCGCAATAGTTACCGAGATATTAATTAACAAAAATCCGCGAATAAGCGTGCATCAGGCTGTCTTACGCGCGTAGGACAGCCCGG